GCGCGCTACCGAAAGAGAGAAGAAAAGGAAAGGGCGAGACTGGCGAAGTGAAAGAAGAGGAGAGCGAAGAGTGACGGCGGGAGCACGTGTTCGACGCGCGGTTCACGGGGTAAACGGAGTTTCGTCCGAATGGCAAACTCGTGGCGGCCTATGGACGACGGATTCAACCTTGAAACGCCATCCAAAATTCGAGAAAATCGCACAGAATTCTACGTAAACGAAGGAATGCACGCGCGCGAGCGCGTGCGCCTGCCGGGCCGACGTACTTTTACGTTTTCTGATAGGTCTGTCCTCTTCCTCCAAACCTGGTTGCTCCCACACAAGCACGTGGCCATTTCGTCCCCTGTTTTCTCCGTTCGATCTGCCGTTAGTGCCGTTGCTGTTGTTCATCGCACGCTCGATACGCGTTCTACGCACAAGCGATCACACACGAAACCGATGCACCACCGAGTAAATCGCCAACGCGAACACCAACGATCGACGAAGATGCCAAAGGAGAATGCGAAATTCTCGTACTCGGATCTTGCGAACGAGATACGTTGTCGCGAACCGAAGGAAAACGTAACGGCGTATTCTTGCCTGTCTGCTTCTCCCAACACAACAGAGATACGATGACTCGCGCTATCTTCTCAGCACCAGCCGAGGAAAATCGAACGCCGTCTCTGCACGCGATCGTTCGGCGAACACGCGCCCTGGCCTGCACGACACGACGACGGTCACAACCACGCCGACGAGAAAGACGATGGAGAACGATTTTCACGGGCGCGACCGAGCACTCACTGTGCGCCAGTAATATATCAGCTTCTCGTTGCTGCGAATCGGTTGACGGTTTCGTTGTAGCCGATAACGATGATTAACAAGGAACCCGTGATCAGAAGCGAGTACACACCTGCCTCTTTCTCTCTTTCTCCCTCGTGCCAGTTGATTCGATGAGAAGCCGCGAACCGCGGGGAACCGCGGGGAAACGCGGGGTGCGGTCTGACGAAACGAATCGTCCGAGCACCCGAGACCTCCCGTCCAATCGTCGCGCTAGCTTCGTCAATCCCTTTCCTCTATTGGACGCGACGGCGCCATCTGGCGTCCCTGCCCTGATTCCACCAATCAAAGGCTCGCGCGCGAAATCACGTCTCTTTTCACACTATATCTTTAAATCGCGTTAGATCTTATCGACGATCTTACGATCGATTCCTGTCGACGATCATCTTTCGTGCACGTTTCATCCTTCGACCTGGCCCGCCTACTATTCAACGCACTACTTTTCAGCGTTATTCTTTTGCGCCCCTTCCGAGGTTACGCCCGATCATTTAAATTAACTTAATTTATCAAGATAGACGGGAAAATCCTTTTAACATTAAGATTATACAAAAATATACGCTGATACGAAGCTTCGCAGAAACATAAAATATAGCATAATAAAAGAAAATACAGGAAAATACAAGAAAATGAAAAGGAAAAACTATTGTCTATTTCACATATTTCACTTACGACGTTAACGCGGTCGAACCTGCAGTTGAGAGTATCTGCGTAAAAGAGCTTCGATGATCTGATAGCAAACGGTGGTAATTGACGAGATCGAGAGCTCACTGCAGTTACCGTGACCATTAAAATTTTTCTATAGAAAAATGTATTCGTCCTGCCTGAATCGCGAGGAATTCTCGGTCCGAAAATATCTACCAATATTACGTAATGGAAAAATTATCGGTAAAATTATCGCTGGCTGGCCTGGCTGCTTATCTTTCGGATCAACTCGCGCAACCCTTGGAATTTATTATCTCTCGAATCGCAACGCTGTTTAATAATGGCGTAATCGTAGCACGTCATACGTCGTTTATGATCTTGGTGGAAGAGCAACGAAAGTCCGTTGTCGCGTCGACGAATTCACCGCCTCCGCTGATTAAGATCGCCATGGAAGTCGATCGTGAGTCACATCGGTAAGATAGTCGTATTTGTTCAACGAAACATCCGTTTGATGATTATCGCGTCAAGGTCAGGGCTTTATTCTGTTTGTCAGAACGAATACGTGACATGACATAACGCGCACAGTACACAGCAAATTCCGATTTCGTCGATGACTTTCGCATTTCGTCGCGAGATAAAGTTGCATCATCGTGGATTATCGGAACGATGCGGATTAGGATCGTTTTCCTCGAAATCAAAGGCGGAAATCGTTTCGCATCGATATACGCCAGAATGTTTGGAACGTTGGAAAGTTCGTATTAACCGCGCCGCCAATTCGCGTACAAAAATAAAAGATACGCGGGGGGCTGCTATTGATAGATTCGCGGATCTCGCGTGCCAAAAATCTTTGCATCGTGCGAGTGCGAGATAAACTAGTCGGCCATTTCGCACGAATCCGGTGTGGCGAATTGCGTCTCGTATTTTTCGCGTTTACTCGCTATCTTACGGGGATCATCAGCCGTAATTCTTTCGGCGATTAGCTCGAACGAAACGATGTGCTTGAAAAAACTATCAACTTCCTTTTTTTCTGGGAAATATACGTAATACCTCTCGATGCATTTATGTAAGTACACATGTACGTATGTACATACATAAATGCTTTTAATCGGAACTCGTTGCGCAATTAGGTGTGTTACCGTCGACCGGACAAGAAGGCAAGCGGAGAAAACGGGTCGTGTTCGGCAACCAATTATCGACCGAACGATTTGGTCGGTAACGAGTTATTTCGAACACCCATCTGTACCTAGTCTCTGTGTTCTCGACACAAAGAGGTCTCTGAGTGTCCGATACGTTCGAAACGGTCATTTGTTTATCGACGCTCCGTTTCATCGTCGACGTCAATGCGTCTATATCGCGGGCTAATTTTCAAACGAACAGAGCGTCCCGTTTCTTCGACGTTCTCGACGCTCGAGAATCGACTTGATACGAGTCAACTGGCACGGCGCGATCGCGCCTGTGTCTACAGGAAATGCTTCGTCCCCTAAACGCGTTATCCACTTTGTAAAGTGGAAAATAGCGTCCGCCTCGGGCGAACAACGAAAGACCGTGCACGCGCGAGCGTAATTGTACAGGAAGCTTTCGGCGGAACTCGAAATTGAAAGTAATACGTCCGCTTTGCGAAAATTGCCAGGAGCCGAGAGGTCGGCACGATTTCCGTCTTCGAGAGCGCGAGCGCATCGACCTTTCCCTTCCTTTCTTTGAACTTTCCAACGATTCGTGTCAAGGTTTCTGCCGCGTTTTTTCCGTGAACGCGTTTCCTGATACGTACTCGCAACCGAGATATCGATCGATAGACGAACATCGAGCCCTGCCCGAGAACCTGGGCCCTGATCCACACGCACGTCACGGAACGTTGACCGGTGAACGCGAGGTAGAACGCGAACGCTCCAGGGGACAGCCATCTCGTGCCAGATTAGAAACTTTCTACTTTCGTGTTTTCGACGTGTCGCTGCCGTCGAATCGCGCTTCCGTGAATGGATAGTTTTGGTAACTAGGTAGGTTATTTACTCCTTGGTATATATCCTCGGACAGTTGCGCTCTGTCGATATTCGGCTGCCAATATTCTCGATAGTAATGGGAAATCGCGTTGATCGAGCAACGAGCACCGCGGGGAAAAACACAAGGAATTATAATTCGCGGTACACGCGCTACCAACGACAAAGATCGATCGGTCCACGGGTATCGTTGGAATTCCGCGACGATTTGCGGTGTTCTATCGATCGATCGTTTCCGCCTGGTTGCCTGTTTGTTATTGAATGCGCGTGCTTTATCCATTCGTTCTACGAGAAAACACGGCGAGGAGAGGACCGGCGATTACAGAGGAGAGCGTTGTACGAGCCGCGTAATACATTATTCAAGAGAAGTGGATGTGGGAGAGGGTTCGCGTCTAAACGACGAAGCACGACACGCTCGTCTCCTCTCCCAACGAGAACTTTTATCGAAATCAGAGAATTTCTTCCTTTTCCTTATTCGTGCTTCTCTCCTTCCACGGTCTTCCTTCGAAAAACACACTTTGAAAAGGTTTAGGGTCGGCTGGTGAATTCCTACCGCGAAAGAGGAAACGTATGGTGAACGGTTTTCAGTCGATTCGATATCATTGGAAGCAAGGTCGATTTACGAGCAAAAAAGTTTGTTCGATACATATTTACGAAGCACCCACGCGCGCTCCGTCACGGTCACATTTTTCCAAGTCGTTAATCGTTCGAACGAGGTACGATCGTACGCTCTCCCCGCGTTCATTCCGGTTTTCCTTATCCCGGGCGATTGAGTTCTAAAGCGCTGGTTCTCGTAAAACGACGAGTCGAGACAAGACATGGTCGAGCATCGTTGTGAAAGAAAGAAAACAGACTTTCACGGTTGTCGATAAGATAGGTGGACGTTGACAAGATTTCGAGGCTCGTCGACTCTTCGAATACGTTGTTGCCATGACGCTTCGAGTTAGTTGGCGATTATGCATCCGGTAATTGAAAAAGAAGGTCCGATAGTCGGCCAGCGTCGGTGGTCACGTATTTTCGCCTGTATATACGTATGTACGTGTTGTCGGCAAGACAGCGATCGTTTCGATCGCGCGTTCTTCCAAATTCCTGGTCGCGCAGAGAATCGATCGAGGCGAAAAGTGAAACGAAATCGACGATGCGCGCGGCTCGTTTCGATGGACGGATCGATAAGGGCTGGCCGTACGAGAAGACGAAGTTTTCGACGAGAGAACAAGTTGGGAAACGGAACGCGCGTTATCATCGGATGTCTCGGAGAAGATAGATGGACTCGATTATGATCGATCGTCGACGCGCGGTGGGGTCGCCATCGTTCGAGTATCTCGTCAGGATCGTTGGGAAATCGTTGGTTCGTAAATCGTTCGTTTTAAAAAGGTACGGCGAAACGCGATAAAAGGCGAAACGCGTGTATCTTATTTCCAGCGAAGGAAAATTATTTTCAGTCGTGCCATGTGTCCCCCCTTCGTACCGTCACGTCGCGGTACAAGATTGCGACGCAATGCCCGTATTCCGTATCGCTAATTTCACCGCAAGTCTTAACGCACCAAGGTGATCGCGCGAGATAGCGTGACGGTGGAACGTTTAGGACTCGCGGTACATCATCCGTGGCATTTTGTCTCCGATTGCGTTGGTCGCGGACAAAGAACGGCCGTGGTAAACGCGCAACAGCCCCGTGGAGGGTAACTTTCGGAGAAAGCGAGGGAAAAGCGTAGAAATGCGCCCGCGAGCGTGCAAGCTGCGCGCGGTAGACGATAGCTCGGAGCAGGGCTGGCTGGCCAGTTCTCTCGCTAGTTTAACTTCGCGTCTGTACTCGTAGGTGCTCGGTTTGGTTTTTTAATTCGAGATAACGAGGGAGCAGGAATGGTTATGCAAATACAGCGTTTCTAGTTACGTAAAGCAAACGCGTTCGTCCGTGGCTCGAGTTTCTCCTGCGGCGTGGAACAAGGAGCGGCGAGAATTCGCTATTACAACGAGAGAGTAAAGTCCCGGTAACGATCACCGGAATGGCAAACTCACCGGACGGCAAGGGCACTTCCGTCTCGAACACCTCGGCGGGCCTCTTCGTCTCGGACTTGCGCGAGCCCACGGCAACACCGTTCGTCGACATCGTATCGTTCGAAGGCGTCCAGGACGAGATGCTCGTACGCGTTCGATGTCTCGTGCTGTCGATAGCTGGATCTCGGAGCCGATGTTTACGAACGAAACTGAGCAGGAAGCGATCTATCGCAAAGGTTGACGCGCGCTCGGTCTCGTCGCTACTGTTGAGAACGCTGCCGAACTCGCGACACTTAGCCGTATACACCTAATGGACGGCGACCAATTAGAACACGCGGTTCGAACCCCACCGACGCTCGTTCGTTTTAAAAAGGTACGGCGAAACGCGATAAAAGGCGAAACGCGTGTATCTTATTTCCAGCGAAGGAAAATTATTTTCAGTCGTGCCATGTGTCCCCCCTTCGTACCGTCACGTCGCGGTACAAGATTGCGACGCAATGCCCGTATTCCGTATCGCTAATTTCACCGCAAGTCTTAACGCACCAAGGTGATCGCGCGAGATAGCGTGACGGTGGAACGTTTAGGACTCGCGGTACATCATCCGTGGCATTTTGTCTCCGATTGCGTTGGTCGCGGACAAAGAACGGCCGTGGTAAACGCGCAACAGCCCCGTGGAGGGTAACTTTCGGAGAAAGCGAGGGAAAAGCGTAGAAATGCGCCCGCGAGCGTGCAAGCTGCGCGCGGTAGACGATAGCTCGGAGCAGGGCTGGCTGGCCAGTTCTCTCGCTAGTTTAACTTCGCGTCTGTACTCGTAGGTGCTCGGTTTGGTTTTTTAATTCGAGATAACGAGGGAGCAGGAATGGTTATGCAAATACAGCGTTTCTAGTTACGTAAAGCAAACGCGTTCGTCCGTGGCTCGAGTTTCTCCTGCGGCGTGGAACAAGGAGCGGCGAGAATTCGCTATTACAACGAGAGAGTAAAGTCCCGGTAACGATCACCGGAATGGCAAACTCACCGGACGGCAAGGGCACTTCCGTCTCGAACACCTCGGCGGGCCTCTTCGTCTCGGACTTGCGCGAGCCCACGGCAACACCGTTCGTCGACATCGTATCGTTCGAAGGCGTCCAGGACGAGATGCTCGTACGCGTTCGATGTCTCGTGCTGTCGATAGCTGGATCTCGGAGCCGATGTTTACGAACGAAACTGAGCAGGAAGCGATCTATCGCAAAGGTTGACGCGCGCTCGGTCTCGTCGCTACTGTTGAGAACGCTGCCGAACTCGCGACACTTAGCCGTATACACCTAATGGACGGCGACCAATTAGAACACGCGGTTCGAACCCCACCGACGCAACCGCCTTCCCCACGCACCGATATCGTTTCTCCCGAACCGAATCGCCGCGGGAAATCAAAGGATTTTGCCGCTAGCGTCGAGGCTTCCAAATTTTTTCCTCTCCGCCCTTGCCCCCATGCTTCGCAGCTCCGCTCCGATTTCTCTTTGCTTCGCACCTCGCCCACCGTCCTCGGTCTCCTTGCTTTACCGTCGCGCGCCACTCGTCCATCTTTTTGTTTTCGCCGACACCGTAGATAAACTTAAGCTGCGTTGCGCGATCGCGAGCGAAAAATTCCACGTACGATCCTTTTCGCGTCTACGTCTACGCGCCAAGGTGTCGATTATCGCCTCTGCCTGGAAATGCCCGCACCGTTGTCCGAGCATCGCGCTCTTCCGATCTAGTAAGAAGCGGGCGATTCGCTGGACTCGACGAATGCAACCTGGTTATGCGTCATCGCGCTCCATTCCGCCGCAACTTATTCCGAGCACGAACGCCAATGCTCTCTGTTAACGAGACCTCGACGTTGATGGAAATCAACGATTCCCGTGGCGTTCGCGCTAACTTGTTCGCCTCGACCTCGTCATCGATAGGTCGACAAATTAATGGGTAGGCGTTCGACGATCGCAGCTTGAGGACTCCGGAGTCCCTTTCGTTTCGTTCGCCGTTTCGACGCGTTGGCGCGCGCACGTGATCCGAAGGAATCGGTCAGGGAAAATCGAGGAAAATACCGCTATGTCGATGCCGATCCGTCGATGTTGACGCAGAGACACGAGCGGTCTCGTGACGCGCCGCTTTCGCGTAAATCCGATGTAATCCTTAGCACGCGTAGCTCATCGCAGTTGCATACTCCGGCGTGACGTTTGGTAGGAGGGCAGCCCACCTCCGCGAGTCGACAAACGACCTGCCGCTGATATCGACTACTCCGTGGGCTCGGCGCACGTGTCTATCACTAAGTCGTCACGCGATACACCGATGAGAGCGGCGCGCAACGCTGCATCTCCCCTTTGTGAGAATTTCTACGCGCGATTGCCTAATAAGCTTCTCCTCTTTCTTCCATTTCTACGTCGCACCATCTTTGTCCGTCTCTATCTACTTCGTCGCTCGTCCGCCGCAGCGGCGCGACGCGACGCGACGC